GGCTCGCCTCAACTATACAGTGGTACTGTTACATGCAAACACTTCCTTAAATTGTTAGAGTGGGGCGAACCTGAATTATACAGTTATACATGCAGTATACATGCTATACCACACTGAGGCCTGAGGTTTATGGTGAAGAGTTGAGGTATTCCCCACCCTAAAACACAAAATACCTTCCTATGGCCCTTACAAGCCCACTAGTAAACTATCTATATCTATAACAACTACCCACACCCCCATAAGTCACTATAATACCTCGTTAGCAACAATCATCCCACAGAAGCTCTATAGCTTTATTGGACTAGCTATGGTTGGCTTTAGCAGATTTATTAGATCTTGTTATACTTCTTATCGTTTTAAAGTATAGAAATGTGCTGGTATCTCCCAATCTCCTATCCCAGCTAAGCTTAATACAGGGACTGGAAAAAAGGTAAAAAGGACTCTTGATTCTCATTGCCTAAGATATAAATTTTAGCTGATACATCTACATGTATACTTATTTTTAATTATTTTTATCAACTCCCTCTCTACTAAATTATTTGTCTTTTATTATAATGTAGATTTCAAAATATTTGGGAATATTGGCAGTGTCTGGGTTTTGTTTTGGTATGATTCTGACACCACCAATAGCTTGCAAAAAACCTAAGGGTAAACGGCATGGAGATAAGACGAATCCTCCAGCTAAAAAAGAAAAGACTGAGGCTGATGAAGGATATTTTAGTCGATCAGTTAAATGGGAGCTGAAGGGCCCTGAAAGCGAGAGAAATTTTGCTGATACAAATGCTAGTGACAGAAAAGCTGTAGATGAACTGCTAGATTTATTCCATTCTGCGGGTGCTGGATATATTAGAGGAAAAGAAAAAAAGATAAAGGAGTATAAAAAGAAGTTTCGACTTGATCATCAAAAATCGTATGAGATGGATAGTATTTTTGCTGTGTTTCATGTTCAAAAAGATATTGAATCCCCTAGTACAGTTGCTGCTGCACATGTTGAGATACCAGGAGGTAAAGAGGTCATAGAAAAAAAATTTGTAATAGATGGTCTAAAACTGAGTTTGGAAAGGAAAAAAACATGCTTTTTATATGTATGTACACGTAAGTGAACTTTAATGATTTGTATGATAGCAAAGCTTATTGTATTTCTATTACAATATATTGCTTCAGTGTGCTATTATTATTATTCTATTATTATTGTTATTAGTATAATTCGTGACACATTGACATTGTATTTGTAGACATATTTATGATGCATCACACACACTTAAAATTCTGAACTTGATCAAAAGTGTTGACCTAAATTTTTAGATTGTATCATTGGAATAGCGAATGAATTTGGCAGATTTAAAAGCCATGTCTACACACTACATATTCATCTAGTTTCAAAACAATAAAAATTGTTCCATAAAACGAATAGAGTCTTCAATAACATTAATTTCTAGAAAAAATGAAGTCTTAATTTTTAATTTTAATACATGCACAAAGTGCCACCATTAGACAACCCTCTCTACTCACAGTACCTGCATGAGTGACTCTTTGGCTTGATAATACTGTATAGCAATTTATACTTTAGAGGAGCAAAACTTTTGTTGTTTTCACGAGTTAGCATGCAATTGCTAAGTATTCAAATGCCATTAAAGGTATGGCACTAACATTGTGAATCCGCAATTTTTATTTCCACAACAAATTAATCAGAAAAACTATAAAGCATAATAAAAAGTTTCGACTTGATTATCAAAAATACGGTAGTATTGTGGACAAGGCTGACTTGACTACATGTACCTTGTTCTTTGAACATGTACACGTACATGTAGTAAAAGTAGTAACATTATAAAACTATTTGCTTTTATTGAAAGGATTGTTACATGGTTTGTATGTACCAATATTAATAGCTTGAGAATAAAATGATGCAAATTAAGATGATAAGACAGCTGTCAGATAGTTCTAATAATCTATAGATAATGATAGATAACTACTACTTAGTAGTGGTACATTATTTTATAAAAACACAATACCAAGAAACTGCATTATGGTCCCCTGACAGGCAACTCTACATTCCCACCAAAAACCAACCAAATAACACTCTGATCCTAGAGCTAATGGTAACTAATACCCACCTTCAATAAGATACACAAACAATGCATGCTGCTTATCCACAAAGTACATTGTATTGCAATAAGTGTTGAAAATCATGGAGTTTGCAAATTCAAAACATTGAAGTATTATCAGCCAGAATTATACTTGTACATGTACAATTACATGTTTGTGCTGTCTACATGTAGGCCTTTATGCAAGTAATTTTGTTATAAACAACCCTAATCCCTTATACACTGACCATG